TGCCCGTAGCACTGGCCTTCCAGTAATTTTGTTGGTGAGTAGTTCAGTAAAGTTGGTTTATTTTAAATCAAGATTTGACCTGCAAAAAATACTTTGCTAATTGAAGAAGCACAAGCCCCTCTATTGAAAACCAGCCAGCAGCTGCCTGTGGCTGAAGAGCTGAACTAACTGAGCTCTTCCTGCAGGTCACCGGTGACCTCTTCGACATCATGTCTGGGCAGACAGATGTGGATCACCCTCTGTGTGAGGAATGCACGGACACTCTGCTAGACCAGCTGGACACGCAGCTTAACATCACGGAGAATGAGTGCCAGAACTACAAGTGAGTGATCTGGAGGTGACCCGAGACCGAGCTGCTTTAGCTTGAGGCCTAGGCAAAGAATACGGCCTTGATCCGGCTTTCTGTGATCAGTAAGAGACATCGCTGACTTCAGTATTTGGTTTTCTTTGAATGAGATGAAAACTTTAGTTTTGAGAGTCATAGAATCATAGAATCGTTTAGGTGGGAAAAGACCCTTAAGATCATCCAGTCCAACCATTAACCTAACGCTACCAACTCCACCACTAAACCAATTAAGGGGAGAGTAGCAATTTCATGTTTCCTGGCTTGGTGGTTGGATTATTTACAATGAAAGTAAAAACTAGGAATCATTAAGGTTGGAAAGGATCTCTAAGATCATCAGTCCAACCGTCAACCCAACACCACCATGCCTACTAAACCATGTTCCAAAGTGCCACGTCTGCCCATTTTTTGAACACCTCCAGGGATGGGGACTCCCCCACCTCTCTGGGCAGCCTGTTCCAATGCTTGATGACCCTTTCCGTGAAGAAATTTTTCCTAATATCCAATCTAAACCTCCCCTGGCGCAGCTTGAGCCCATTTCCTCTCATTCTATCGCTTGTTACTTTGGAGAAGAGCCCAACACCCACCTGTGGTACAGAGCTGCTTTTGTGAGCCCATCAGCACCACTGATGCCACCTGCCCACGGTGCCTGCGTGGCAGCGGTCCCGTGCGGTTGAGGGCGTTGCAGAGATGGTTACTGACAGGCAGCAACAGCTCCTCGGTCACCATCTTGCTCCCCTGTTCCCCTGTGTGCGTTCCTGGCTCACAGTGCAGGATCAATGTGGAGAGCTCGGGATTAACGAGAGGCGCACGTGAGATCAGAGTCCCTGTTTGCGCCTCTGCTCCGCTGTCACGGAGCCAGGGACTTTTGGTGGGGGCTTCCCAGGATCCCTGTTTTGGTAATCCTGTCACTCTCCTTTAGGAGATGTCTGGAGATACTGGAACAAATGAATGAGGATGATAAGGAGAAACTGCAAACAGAACTGAAAGAACTTGCACTGGAGGAAGAGCAACTCATTCAGGAGCTAGAGGACGTGGAGAAGAACCGCAGGATTGTGGCTGAAGACTTTGAGAGAGTCAGGGCAGAGGCAGAGCAGCTGGAGCAGGAAGAAGCTCAGTGAGTGAACTGTTGTTTATGGCAGGGATTTAGGTAACAGATACATGAGATTATAATGTGGAGAAACCTGTAAATAATGCCCAAATGCAAGTGGCTTGTTTGGCTTGTTTGCAAAATTGAAGTTTGGCGAGACCAAAAAACCCTAGTATACTGCGTGAGCGATCACTTTTCTGCGAAAGCCTGCACTTCACATTTCTTGTCTTGCTTTTATTAAAAGGTATCAGAAAGAATACTGTGAATTCAAGAGGCAACAACTGGAGCTAGATGATGAGCTGAAAAGTGTGGAAAACCAAATGCGCTATGCCCAGATGCAATTGGATAAATTAAAGAAAACCAATGTGTTCAACGCAACCTTTCACATCTGGTAATGTAGACACCGGAATATTCCGTCAGTTTGCTAAGAACCTGCAATGGAGGGCTGGTTCAGTAATGCTGCATTTGACAGGAAAGGTGCTAGTCAAGTCATAGTTACCCCACAGCAACACGACTGTGTCACAGCTCCCAACAGCATCAGCTGAGAGAGGTTTGCGACACGGTGCAGTGTCCAGGTAGACGGTGAAATGGCTCTTTCACTAACTCTGTTAACGCGCCAACACCTGCTGCGCCTGCCAGCGGTAATGCTCTAACGTCAGGCTTTCCAGAGCAGGTAGCTCAGGGGGTTTGGGGTGGTTTTTTTTTTTTTTGTATGAAGTCTGTCATAAAAAGAGAACAAGTGGTTGGTATTTATACTTTTTAACCAGAGCCCCCAAACCCTCCTTTTGCTCGGCTAGCAGTTGCATTCCGTAACTGTTAGTACGTGGCCCGTGTTTGGTTAGCATGCTAGAAGCTGTTCCTGCCCCAGTGCGCTTATTTATAATTCCTCTTATCGCAGGCACAGTGGTCAGTTTGGCACAATAAATAACTTCAGACTTGGCCGTCTCCCCAGCGTTCCTGTAGAGTGGAATGAGATCAATGCTGCCTGGGGGCAGACTGTGCTGTTGCTACATGCCCTTGCTAACAAAATGGGCCTGAAGTTTCAAAGGTATACGCAATAAAATACACATTTCACTTGTGACCCAGATAAATAACAGTTAGACTCATCTGCCTGTGAATCGCCTCTCCTTTCAGATACCGTCTTGTACCATATGGCAACCACTCATATTTAGAGTCCCTCACGGACAAATCAAAGGTAAGAGATCCCGCACCTTGAACGCCACAGAGCCCTGGTCAGGTGTGGGGACGCAGAAAACAAACTCGGCTCTTTATAAATTTATGGTGCAGGAGAGCTAGGTGCCCCGACTTCTCCAATATCGTAATATCTCACTCCATATCCTATAGAGCCACTCGTTCTGCCATCCAGTAGCATTAAAAACAACAGGACTCTTGAACTGTACACTGCAGCTGGCCAGAGGAAGATAGCATGGTTTGGGACGATTGTTGGCGATTAGGAACCCAAGCCTGCACGTGGTGGGCACTTACCACAAACCGAGTCACACTTCTTATGTGCCACAAACCATTTCTAAGCATCCTATGACAAATTTAAGCCTTCCACAAGCTGCAGTGACCGTATCTAAAGTGCAGTGCTTGGGGTGCCTGAAACAAATCTCTTTTTCCAGGAGCTCCCCTTGTACTGTTCTGGAGGCCTAAGGTTCTTCTGGGACAATAAGTTTGACCATGCAATGGTGGCTTTCCTGGACTGCGTGCAGCAATTTAAAGAGGAAGTGGAAAAAGGGGAAACTCGGTTTTGTTTGCCTTACAGGTGAGCGTTGCTATATAACATGTCAAATTAACGCCTCGTATGCTGTCCCGCGCAGCACTAACTGACCTCTGGACCAGCCTACAGCACTGCTTGCTGTTTCAGTCCTGTCTGTCTGGAATCATCCAGTGTTCTTTAGAATGTGCAAGATTACCACATTTGCTCTTAGTTTAATTGAAATTTAAAGCTAGTTCCTCAGGTGAAGACCTGAGGCTTGCTTGATTTCCTTTAAAAACAAAATATTCTTACATAGAATAATATGAACGTCAGATTTAAATTTTAGTACTTGACATCATACTGAGATGAAATGCTTGCAATAGTAATGCACTAATAAAACTTTGTGTGTGATACAGGATGGACGTGGAGAAAGGAAAGATTGAAGATACGGGTGGCAGTGGTGGCTCTTACTCTATTAAAACACAATTTAACTCTGAGGAGCAATGGACAAAAGCACTAAAATTCATGTTAACTAACCTGAAGTGGGGTCTTGCCTGGGTCTCATCCCAATTCTATAACAAGTAACCATGTAAAGAAGTCATCCTGGCAGCTGTAGAGTGTCTGCGTTTCGTTGGAGAAAGTCAAATTAAGATGTCTCTTAACATTAACTAGTACAAAATGTTTACAATACCAAAAATCCACAAGACACTTTATTTTAAATAGCATTATTACAAGTAGTATATAGAAAAGCAATATGTAAAGTTACATCATTGAGCTGAACAGAATAAAAAGAATCAGTTATTAAATAGATGCTGAACTGGTACTTTTGGGGTTTATAGATACATGTATAAATTACCGTCAAACTTGACAACACGAGTGAGTTTGATGCTACTCTTACAGCTTAACACAGGGGTTAGAAAAGTGAAATACTGCACAGGGAATAATGTAGAAGAACTCACAGAAGCTCTGCTTGGTCATTGAAGAGTAACTACAGTTTGAAATAAAATATTTTCTAAGTCATATCAGCACTTCTTTGTGCCACTGAACTTAACCAGGTTTGATACTGTTTAAAATACTGTTAGCTATGAGGATATGAACTATTTGTTAATACTTCCTGCAGCCTGTTCTTGCACGGAGGTGCACTGAGTAAATAATAAAACACTATTCTACGCAAAGAGTGCTTTCATCTAGCATATGCCAGGTACAGCATAAACAGCCCGTGGCGTTTACATGGACGTGCTGAGTGGGCACCTGCTGTTGTGACAATCGCATCGCTTTCAAAACTGGTGGATTCTGGCCTTTTCACAGCACCAGCCAACTAGCCGGCTTTCTCGGGGTAAGAGCAAACAGGCACTGAGCACTGGCAAAAAGGGAACACAGTAACAGGCTGTGATAATAACTAATTTTTTAAAAAGCAGCAAGTGGAGAAAGGAAGTACAGCCCTGTTTGTAGTGACTGGGCATGTGAGCTGCTTCTAGCACTACAGATCACCAAGCAGAATACCATGCACATTAATGTCTTCAAAACATGACTCAGAGTTTTCTCTTTATTCAAAGGAAACTTACATTCCTAACTTAGAAGATGTAGCTCTAACAATAAATCTTTTGAGGCTGAAAAGAGGTATTTCTAAATGCTACTTTGCTTCCTGTGTGCCTCCCTTCACAGCACTAGTGCGTTGCCTGAAGGGACAAGCTTTCCTAATTAACACGTAACATATGAAATTTTATAGAACACCTGGCATTCAAAACCAAAAGTAAAACCAAATTGCGTTGGGTGCCCTGTGCAGCATCACAGAAGATGGTCTATTATCAGCGGTGTAAGAGTTTGCTACCGATATCCTAGTGACTGGCCGTAGAAGATAGTTCTATTTAAGAGGCATAATTCTGTTCTCCGGAGCTTGGTCCACAGTTCCTGTAGTGCTGCTTTGGAGTGGTAGTGCCAACAACATGTATCAGTACTGCATAAGAAAATTCTAAGATACTTTGTGAAGTAATGCCAGTGATACAGTTTAAATGCTCCACAACCTTTAAAAAAATAAAGAAAAAAAAAGAAAAAAAGAAAAACCAACTTACTTACAATGCCTAAGAGACATTAGTTTACAGACATACTTCTTAACCCTCCAAATCTAACAAGAACAATAGTGCTCCACAGGCGCACTTCAACAAAACTTGAAGCCTCTCAGCATGTTTTTTTTTATTTGGTTGGGCTTTTTTGTTTGCTTGCTTGCTTGTTTTGCGGTTTTTTGTTGGTTTGGTTTGGGGTTTTTTTTTTATTTATTTAATTGCTTCTACTAAAGAAGTAAAATGAAAAAACTGCTATCTGTAATACGCTGTTTGTTAGAGTATTCAGTAGCAGTTTGGGCAGAACATTGTCCCATGGGATCTCTTCTCCACCTGTCAAGGAAGCAACGTCTGTGTGGGTTTGTTCTGGCTGTAAAGAAGCTGAAGTGCGAGGATCCGCTCACACCAGTGTGAGCGCAAGCCTTCCTGCGGAATTGCCCGCATACCCTCATGACGCTCTTACAAAAGTACACACACTTCCTGCTAAAAGACTTGAAAGACGTCACTTCCTTCATGCTACTCGCAGTAGAATCTACCTGCCTTCTTGCTGTGCTTAAACTTATAAACCACCTTCCCATTTTTTTCACGTAGTTCTAACGTGTTTAGAAGCGACTCTACCTGCTGCCAGTGCTCAGGGCTTAGTATGAACACGCTTGTGCTGATGATTCCAACAGCCAAGAGCATGAAATCTTCCTTTACTGCCAAAAACTTTGCTCTGCAGAAGTAAAAGCATCTTCTGGTGTAAAAGGATGCTAGTTTTACAGTTCAAAAGCACCTACTTCTGTAAATCGCCATACAGCCTACAGACACGTTACCTTATTCAGTCCAAATAAAACCTGTTAACTTAATTGTAAAAATCCAGCTTTAGCACTGTCAAATAAGTTAAACATTTTCCTAGCTTGCCCCTAAAGCAAAGGTAGTGAAGCACACTGCTTTGAACTGGTATATTAAGATCAATAAAAGCCCCTCAAATTAAAATTTTTTAAAACATGCCCAAAAATGGCATAATGGGAATTATGCTACTATTCCTTAGGGTTTTTTTAGGGTTTTAATTTCAAATAGTTATTTTAAGCAATAGTCATGTAAGCTACTTACATCTGCAGTTCGCTTGGTGTCGAATTTTCAATGGCAATTTTCAACAAAGTGTCGTAGATGGTATCTCTTGTAAGATAGGAGAAGTCTAGTAGTTGCATACACATCTGATGTAATGGTTTTGCAGGAAGCAGGCAACCATTGTATCCTAGCACAGAGATCATCCATAAGCAGCCATACATTTTGAGTCATTAAACTGAATTAGAAAGAGGCGTTAGTTACTGTAAGCGAGGGATGAAGATTTCTGGTGACAACTGCCCTTTGTTTCCAAATGCCACAGGCCTTCTCATGCCATAGGCTTCTCAATCTCAGTATAATTTCACTCATTCTGAAATTCAGGTTGTCAGACCTGGGCAAAGAAAATGGTAGGTCGTTGCAGAAAATGTGGCCTTACGCTAGGTTTGGGGGGTTTTAAATGCTTAATCTTTTACTGAATGAGTCACGACTGGCTGTCCGACAACATTCATCAGATTCTACTAAGGACAAACTTCTCATCCGAAAAGTAAAGCCCTGGACAATCTGAAAAGTTTCACATGCCTTCACAGTATGCAAAAATCCGTAACGTGAGACATTTTGGTTCAGAGCAGTAATAGCTCTATTATGCTTTTAAAAAAATTCTTTCCCATTCTCTCCTATAGTAGTCTTACCTAAAACCTCTAGAAGCAATTCCACGTAAGCCAAAGGAGTTAACACATTGATCTCAAAGTGCAGCATTTTTAAAACAGCAAGCTCCGACTCGAGCAATTCCTGTTTAGTGTATGAATATTTCAAGGATTGCAGAAATTTTAAAGCTGTGTCACTGTTAACTACCTGAAGAGGGGAAAAAAAAAAAAAGGCAAATTATCTTCTAGGCAATAAGGCACTTGCTAAGAACAAAGTATTTTCTTGCTTTACTCCTCTCATTGAATTTAAGCATGAGCCACTGCCGCGGCGATGCTGCCCGCTAACCCAGCTGTCTAACTCGAATTTTAAGCTGGCATGAGAAACCCAGCTCAGACCTTCCTTCCCGTAGGTATCCTTTACTCCACAAACCTTCCCCAGACAGGTGTGAACTCTCTCTAGTCATACAATTTTGAACCACCACAGGCCACAGTTTTCCCGCTGCCCATACTTTTTTCCCCCCAGTACTGGGAACATTTCCTGACAAATTGTTACTTGATGAGTTAATCTGCCCTAAACAGAAGAGACTTAGGTTTCCATTTCAATATCCTTTGCATTTCATTATCGCTGTTGTCTTTCAGAGAGGCAATCTTATTTTTTAAGTGATTAATATACTACACAGTATACTACACTGCTAAAAAATTCTATAGGAAAAAGGTTTAGCTGGCTTACGTTATAGTGTAAGGAAAGTTTGCTTGCAAGCTGAATGCATGACACAAGCCGGAGGACAAACGTGTCGTCTATCTGATCTTTCAGGGAGCTCCAGCTGCTGCCTTGTCCTTGTTCGCGACTTTTAACGTTCTCTCTGCAGGACTTAGAGATTTGTTCTACTTGCTTGATCATAAACCTACAAAAGCCACAACTGCTCAGAAAACAGTTCTCTTCTGCTAAGGAAAAAGGAAGAAAAACAATTCTGCATGTACTCAGAATATACGGAGAACTGTTAATTTGAATTAAATGAGTAAAGAGACAAAGCTTTAGACACAAAAAAAATTATACATTGTTTGAATGAGTGGATAGAGCATGCACAGCGTAACCATGTGAGAGAAATGAGAAATACACTGAGCATTCGGGATATTTATTACCTTTCAAATAACTCTACCGCTTGGTACCTTGCCGATTGGTCCAAGTGCCATTTTTCAGACAAAAGGAATATAAATTCTGCAAAAAAGCGCAACAGGCATTCGCTTCAGTCGGCTGAATCTAGTTATGCAGCTGTTAACCATCTCAGGAGCTAGCTGTAGTTGAAAAAGAGCCTCACCCACTATCCGTGTGTCTTTGAAGCATCCGGCCTGATCCGACAGCTTGCTCAGGTAGTGTTCATTTTCCGTGGCCAAATGGATCAGCGTGTCCTCGATAATCTCCGGAGCAACCTTGCCGAAGATGGGGCTTGGGTCACGCCACCAGGACGCTGCTTGCACCTGGGACACCATTTATCACTTCAGGCCAGAGACCGTAAGGACGCTAATTATCTCAACGGCACCACGGGTGGGAACGGGCCC